TGACTGAAAAGTGATATACCAGTTGCTATTATGTGCAAACTCACAGCTTATCACTTTGGGGCAGTTTTCACTTTTAAACAAAGCTTTCACTTCCTAAAAAAGAAAAATCACAGTCATTTTCTTGTAAGGTTGAGCACTTCTTYACATCTTTTGGTCCTCAATCCCAGGTACAAATAGAAAACAAAAGATATTTACACTAAAACTCAAGAGTGGTCAGTTAACATATTTAAAGATACTTAATATAAAGAAACAACTGAAAGTGAAAAAGTATGCATACATCTAAAGTATACATACATACATAAAGTTAAAGGAAAAGAAAGAATATGCATTAAAATACCATCAAAAGTCACTGACCTAATCCCCAAACCAACCCATGTTCAAGTTCTTTTTACCAACTCCATTTTTACCAATGAAGTCCACTGAACCTACTTATTACAAGTATGAAGAGAAATGTAATAATAACCAAAAATTTCCAAGTAAGAGAATATGATCAGGTTAAATTGCACCCACAAAATATCAAARCATCATTATAGGCATCAATTTTTTTATATTTATTTTTTAGTTGTAGTTAGACACAATACCTTTATTTATTTATTTTTATGTGGTGCTGACGAACCAGGGCCCTGCATGTGTGAGGTGAGCACTCTACCACTGAGCCACAACCCCAGCCCCTAGGCAATTTTTTAAGATAAAAGCTGACGGGAATATTGATGACAACAGTGAAGCCTAACCAGTATACCTCAAATTTTTAAGACACTGAACTTATTTATTTATTTATAATATTTATTTTTTAGTTTTCGGCAGACACGACATCTTTGTATGTGGTGCTGAGGATCGAACTCGAATCGCACGCATGCCAGGCGAACGCGATACCGCTTGAGCCACATCCCCAGCACAAAGACACTGAATTTAAAAAAGAATGTTCTCATTGTGATAAATGACATTGCGTCAAATGTTTGAAATTTTAAAAAGTGGAAAACCATCAAGTTCTGTAACTTTTGTGAAAGTGGTAAATTATCATCAACTTCAGTTTAGAAAATCACCATGTAATCCCAAAATTACATCACTGAAGATCTGTATGAAACTATTAGGTYGCCACTTACTACTGACCTTTACTTTAAAAATACCATCAATACTGTATATATTTCTTATTCCCTTAAAATGTTTAATGAATTAATTTTAAAAGATTTTAATAAAATGCTTATTTTCCACTTTCATCATTCCACAGGAAGTTATGTTCACAGATTTACTTTTACAAGCATTAAGAGGGGAAGTCTGGACTTAGAGTAAGCAAAAATTTATTTTGCCAGGAACCTTAAAGGGTCACTACCTCGACTACTCATTTTAATAAAAATTTCAGTGATTATTGCCTACATTTATTTTATCTGGCTATTTTAATCATCTATACTTCCTTTACTTTTTTGGTAATATTGTTCACTATCACCTTGTTTTATTATTTTTCATGTAGTAAACTCTTTATGTATTCAGAATAAAAATTAAAATAAATACAAAATTGACAAAGAGTATTTTATGTACCAGGTCACTACTCTAAGTTTCAAAGATCTTGTGACAGTTTCTTTTCTAATTTCTCTCTGTTTCTTTCTCTGTTTAGGAAATCTTCATTCTAGATACTGAATACTGAATGACTTTGGGTAAAAAGATTAGCTACTAAGGCATCATTATTTACTATGTGGCAAGGGACTAAAAATTCTAAACATGGCTAATAAATTACAATAAACAAGTTAATGATCAATCCTCAACTTTTTAGATTTAGTCTTAAAATGGACACAGTGGTGAAGAAACACAGGCTTCTGAATCAGATGATCAAGTTTAAATGTAGACTCTCTCATATAACTGCCCATTTATCCTTGGACAAGTTACTCAACCACTTAAAGATCAGTTTTTTTTTTTTTTTGGGGGGGGCCTGGGGTTGAGGCTCAGCAGTAGAGCGCTTGCCTAGCATGGGGGAGGTGCTGGGTTCGATCCTCAGCACCACATAAAAATAAACAAACAAAAAAATAATAAAAGTATCCTGTCGAACTACCCCCCCCCCAAAAAAAATCAGTTCTTCATCTTAAAACAGGTTATAAAACCCCTGGCTTCTCATTTTCCCCTGCACTGGGGATTGAACCCAAGGGTATTTTACCACTGAGTTACATCCCAGTCCTTTCTATTTATTATTATCTTTGAGTAGTGGGGATGGAACCTTTTTATTTTTTGAGTCTTGCTATAAATTGTCCAGCATGGCCATGAACTCGTGAGCCTCTGGAGTTGCTGGGATTATACAGCATACACCACTATGTCTAGCTCAAACATTATATTCTTATACCTGTATCATACCACCTTTATGACTACAGCTTTGCTTTATATTTTGCTAACCAACAGAGTTCATCTCACATCATTAGTACTTATTCAAGATTCTTTTTATCCATTCTTCCAGATGAATCCATAAGTTCTCAAAATAGCCCATTTATAATTTATTAATTTATTTTTTGGTACCAGGGATTAAATCAGGGACACTTAGAAACTGAGCCATATCCCCAGTCCATTTTGTTGTTTTTTTTAAAGACAAGGGTCTCATCTCACTACATTGCTTAGGACTCACTAAGTTGCTGAGGCTGGCTTTGATCTTGCAGTTGTCCTGCCTCAGTATCCAGAGTTGCTGGGATCACAGATGAGTACCAGTGTACCCAAATCCCCATTTATATTTTAACTGTAATTGTGTCAAACCAAAAAATTCAGAATTTGATTCACTGCTTAGCCTACCCTTCCAGAACATAGAATTATATGTTTTTCTCCCTCTGTGTTTTTCTAATATGTCAGAATTATGAAAACAAATTAATATTTATCCTATAGACAGTAACTAACACAGGACACTGTCTTATGTTTTGCTTATGTACCTCCTCCAATTTAAACAGTTAAAGAACATTTAACTTACAAATGATTAATGAATGATTTACCTCTACTGGTGTTGTTTCAGGAATCTCTCTGAGAATGACAATACAACGTTTATGACTTGGTCTCACCTTCTCACCCTTCTCATCAACTTGTACC